TTTAGGGCTTAGGGTTTAGGTTTGAGTTTTAGTGGTCCTTTAGTATACAGATGCGGGGTCTCGTTTCAGAAAGGTCGTGTGAAGGTTTCATGATGCTGATTCTACAACGGTTTCATGTCTTGCAGCTCAGGGCTCCGGTAAGGAATGTACGGATTTGAAGCTTCGGAGTGAAGGTAAACCCTAAACCCCAATTCCTAAACCCAAAACCCTAAACCCTAAACCCTAAACCCGTGGGACTGGGTCTCCATCAAAGCCGTTAAGACTTTTAGGCCTGGCTCTTCAGATCTCCGGGCCTGCCGCCCTGATCAGGACTTCTGAGGTTTAGGGATTTGGGGTTTAGGGTTTAAGGTTTAGGGTTTAGGGTTTAGGGTTCAGGGTTTAAGGTTTAGGGTTTAGGGTTTAGGGTTTAGGGTTTAGGGTTTAGGGTTTAGGTTTAAAGTCTAAAGGGATATGGGGGTCCGACCGCAGAACTCCACCTGCCCTGCACTCAGATGCTGGAAGGCCACCCCAACACGCCAACAGCGGTCTTGTAACGACCTGGAAAGCACAACCTAAACCAAAACCCCCAAAATGTTTGAAGTCGTCCTCGAGCTTAAACCCATAATTCCCGAATCTCTGAGATGCTAAGCTGAAGCCGCAAACCTACACGGACGATCCGAGACCCCGAACCTGCCAGACAAGGCCCTTCAAAAATGAAGCCCCTAAGACCTAGATGGGTTTAGTGCTTAGGGCCTAAAGGTTTAGGGGTTTAGGCCCGCTAGAATCCCTTTGAAGGAGCCCCTAGCAGTACCCTTTTAGCGCCTTCCCCGAAACCCGAAGCCCTAACTCAACCTTCAGGCCAGACCCAGACCTGAACCTCAAGCCCTAATACCCCTGATGGGGTATACTACAGTCTCTTTTTTATGGTATTGCTTATCGGAAGCGCTGGTAGCATGACAGCATTTGTTTTATGGAAACTTGGGAACGTATCATGTTTACGTCATAGGGAACCCCCTGTAAATCAAGCCCTCCTAAGATCTCTTCTGGCAGCTCTACGCCCTAAACCCCAAACTGCAAACCCTTCAAGAAGCCCGATCGAGGTTCCTTGTTGTCGTCGTAGAAGACGATGAGCTTGTGCAGACGGAGGTGCCCAGCCAGGGAGGAAGCCTTTTTTTAAAAGGATCATGGGGCTCAGGTGCTTCAAAGGGCTCGTGAAAGGGATTAGGGTTTAGGGGTTGTAGGGCTCTTTCTCTAAAATAGGGTCCCTTTTTTAGGTCCACTATGTTGTACGGCAAGGGCCTGAAGAACAATGAGTTGTGAGCCCTAGGCCCATACTTACAGGGCTCGTTGAGAATGCCTGATGACGGCGTGTTCTGTTCATGGGTTCTGCAATGCTTGGAGGTTCATGGTAAGTTATACGTGGAGTTATAAGTCCCCTAATGTAGGTTATAGCTATAGTTACCCTACTTATAACTAACCATGAACCTCCAAGTGGCACCCATAAAGGTTCCCCCGACGGGGCTGAGGAACAACGGCCAGCACTCCTTTTTCACATGCGAGGATGGCGACATCGTTGCCTCCGAATAAGGAAATCGCCTACATCGTATTGAACCTACACAAAAGCCACAAAATTCGCATCTAAACTCATAACACCCGGCACCTGCCCGACTCTGACAAATTGAACCCACGACTCAAACACTACCCATACTGCAAGCTCTGCAAACCCCTCAAAACCCTCAGCCCTGCATGCGGCACCTCCTGCGCTACACCCTCCATCAGGCAGCCATCACCAGCCTCAGCAGCACGAAGTCTCCAAAGTCTCCAAAAAACTGGGTTCTTGTTAAGTCCCTAATTTAAGTTGCCACAATAGGGATCTATAACAAATACTATGGTTTCCTAATTATGGTCCCCGAACAAGAAGAGCCCAGACGAAGTCTCCAAAGTCTCCCAAACAAAGGATGTTCTCCCGCAGACTTCAAAGCTTTGGTTGGGAGTTCAGGGTCTGGGTTCAAGGTTGAACCAAACCCTAGCTGCGCTCTGATTAAGGGACTTAATTTTAAGTTACCATAACTATGAAGCCATAGTACTTACTATAGATCCCCAGTACTCAGTATGGTAACTAAATAAATTCCTTTTACAAGACCCTAAACCCTGAACCCTAAACCCTAAACCTAAACCCTAGTCAACCCTAAATGCGAAACCTCCTCTTGCGCTGCGAGGTGGCGAGCACATAGGTGTAGTGATCGAAGAGCGGGAAGCCTTCGCGATTGAAGCGGGCAGCCAGGTGGGCCTTGGCAATGTCAGTTTGGGGCTTCGGGGTGTAGCGGTTTAGGCGGGTTTAGGATTTATGATTGAGGGCCATGACAAGTAACACACACCCCTGCCAAAACAAGAAAAGCACAAAATGCTACCAATGCAAGATAGCACCACTAGGACAACACCTAACAAATGATAGCTCAACAAAGAATATGCCATGAAGACAAAAAACATGCAAAACTCAAAAATACCACAACTGAGAAGAAACACTGGGTGAAAAAATCTGCACCGAAACCAAGAAATTAAGAAACCCTAAACCCTCAACCCTCAACCCTAAACCCCTAAACCCTAAACCGCTAAACCCTAAACCCTACACCCCACCTCGGAGATGGCCATCCCGACGGCATTGGCAAAGCCCTGGCCAAGGGGCCCCGTGGTGACCTGCCCACGACTTTCGTTTCGGGCGCGCCTTCTTCCGGCTTGGGGTTTAGGGTATAGTGGGTTTAGCGTTTCGGGTTTAGGGCTTTTTTGGTGGTTTAGGGTTTAGGGTTTAGGATTTAGGGCTTTTTGGGGTGTTTGGGGTTTAGGGTTTAGGGCTTTTTTGAGGGTTTAGGGTTTAGGGCTTTTTTGGTTTAGGATTCGTGTTTGTTCAAGGCTCGATCTCGGGCTTTGGTGCATTTGTGTTGGAGTGCTCGGTTTCACGAGGGTTCGCATGGGCTTCGCAAGGGTAACTAGGGGCTGCCTGTGGGCTTGGTCTGGCAAGGGTGTAGGGTGTTCATAGCAGCTCTGAATATATAAATAGGCTTTAGAAAGGCTTAGGGTTTAGGGTCGTGGGGCTTCGAGTGTGTAGGGTTTAAAGCTTGTACGAATTCATCAAAGATGCATGGGGGATCGGGATCTAGGTCTTAAGAGGTTTAGGGCTTGGGCTTTGATTTTGGGACATCTGCAAAGCCTCGTTTATGCAATCGGCCGACACCTGCAGCCTTCGACAGCGATGGCCGCCGAGATTTCCGGAGTTTAGTCATTCGAGTTTCGGTGTTTCAGAGCTGCGGTTCACCGGGATGCTCACGTTCTCTCCGCAAAACAAAGTGGCATACAGTTTTGGCGTGAAGAGTTGCCTCAACAAATCTGCACACTCCTAGAATTCTGAGATAGGGGAAACCCGAAACCCTACACCCCACACCGAAAACCCTAAACCCTAAGCCCTAAACCGAGATAGGGGCTTCGCTCCCTCGCACTCCAACTCACTCCCTGACTCTCTCGCTGCGAGGCTGCGGGGTTTAGGGTTTGGGGCTTAGGATTTAGGGTTAATTTTAGGGTTTAGGGTTTAGGGTTAAGGCTTTTAGGGTTTAGGGTTTAGGGATGTAGTGTATATCGCAGTTCCAGATGCGACTTCGAGCAACGACAGATTGGCTGCAGACCTTTATTTGCGGCCTTGCCATACTCTTCTGAGCGTGGCCTAACTACACGTCCATGCGCAGATAACCGGCTTCTATCTATCGAAAAAAGCTCCACCAGGCAGTTAAACTCCATGGAAAGTCTTACTCCAAGCACTGTCAATGTTGCGCTTTAGTCCTGCTGCTCTCGATATTCTGACGGTCGTCCCCTCGTGCTCTTGCCGAATCTCGTTTCCTTGACCCGGCCCGCCTCAACACCACTGGTCATTCGAAACTCTGGGTGCCCGAAACCCTAAACCCTAAACCCTAAACCGCCGCCTCCACACCACTGGTCATTCGAAATTCCGGGTGCCCGGGGGTGCTGCTGCCCGCTTGGCGAAACCTGGGTTCTTGATAGGGGATTTAATTTAAGTTACCATAATAAGGAAACCATATTATTTACTATAGATCCCTATTGTGGTAATTTAAACCCCTAAACCCCTAAACCCTAAACCCTAAACCCTAAAGTCCCTTAACAAGAACCCAGAAACTGCTTCAGCTGCTCCATGCAGACTTCGTAGGGTCCTCCGGCTCCCGTTCCTGCGAATGTTACTACTTAGAATAGGGTTCCCTTGAAGGGTTCCTTTAAAGGGTCTATAAGGGTTCCTTAAAGGGTTCTAGAAGGGCTTAGGGTTTAGGGTTCCTTCATAATTTGAAGACCAGACACAGCTTTCACAAGGGTTTCCTAAGCCCTAAACCCGAAACCCTAAACCCTAAACCGTTCATAGGGCTTGAGAAGGGCGTTATAAGGGTTTGATACACCAGGCTTGACAGTTAGAAGGCTTCTTTGCAGGGATTTGGGGCTTCCATGCAGTGTTTTGTTGGGGCTTAAGGATCGGGGCCCCAGCATCTACAGTAGCATGGTCTCATATATCAAAGAATATAACAGTATACCATCTTATCATATACACTATGGGATGCCATAGTATCTTACACCGTGTTACTATGGCAGTTACATGAAAGCTGAAACTTTCAAATCTGGACCTCAACGAATCCAAGACTTCTACGATCTCCAGTCTGACTGCCTGGACCCAAAAACCAACGCAAGTCTACTACAGGGCCTAAATAATTAGAATCGGGCTTAGAGTATGTTCTACTATAGCATGTGAGCTTTTACCATATGAGACCCTGATTCCAGGACAACAGCCGAGAAACCGACCAGGTGAAGCATGCTGTAAAGCAAAGCGGACGCATGCCCCACGGACAGGACGAAGCGATCGCGATTGAGCCATCTCTTGTTGGGCGAGAACTTCATGATGCTCCTGAGGGTTTAGGGTGTAAGGTTTGATTTGGGAGTTACAGAAACAAAGGCCTCTTGATAAAGACGGACGGATGCTTGTTGCGAGAACGCCTGTCCATGAAGCTTCTCATAACTTCAAACCTTGTTTTCAAGTTGAACTCTTCAACACCCTAAAGGCCTTATACATAGTCCTATGCGATCTACACGCTCAACCCTACACCCTGCACGAAGCATGTAAATCCACACCAATGATAATAATAACTGCGTTCCCTGGCGGCATTGCTTTGCGGAATTACGCCTGGACTTCCTCGTAAACCCCATAAGAATGCACTTGACAGCAAGGACATGTCGTCAGATGCCATGCAAGCCTGGTCCTGAACAAGCCAGAATGATGCCCTTGTGCGTCTGGGAAAGCCACCCTACTTTTCATCTGAGGCTTCAACCTAAACCCTAAACCCTAAACCCTCACCCCTAAACCCAAAACCCAAAACGCCTAAACCATAAACCTTAAAGGGTTAGGGCTCAGGCTTCGGGTGGACCGTAGCCTATAGCTTTGAACCCTTCACGACGATATCTTAAGCGCAAGCGGTTTAGGGTTTAGGGTTTAGGGTAATTCCTAAACCCTAAACCTTAAACCGAAAAGTTCCATCTCAGTCGCCCCCAAAGAGCGTTGGCCAGCGGCGCACAACCAAATGGCGTGCCCAAATGGCCAGAGCTTGCACGCTCCACCATATCTCCACAAAGGAGGCGGATGCTGTAGACCTCCGGTTTGCACCAAGCAGTTCCCAGAGAGCCCAACTAACTGAGGAATATACCTTATATTATAATCTTAAGGCCCCTATAATTCAAGGTATATTCCTTATTTAAGGGGTATTGGGCTCTCTGAGTTTGGGCTTTGGAAAATACTTCATCGGCTTATGTAGGAGTTGGGTGCGGGATCTAGTGTGAAAGGTTCGGGACAGGGGACATGGGGCTAAAAACTCTTGTAAATGCCGACTCAATGCGGCGGTCTTGGTGGATGAGTCTTAGATGAGAGAACCATCAGCGGAAAGCCAGGGTTTCAGAGCATCACAAATTCAACGGCACGAACAGATGGGTAGCTCTCTAAATTGAGGTCTCTTTTTGGGGTCCTCTTCATAAGGGTGCCGTACTACATTGGCGACCTGAAAGGGGATCATGATTTAGGGAACTACCCACATGAAAAGGTTGCCTTTTTCTGCCAAGGCACAGCCAAGGCATCCAAAGCAAGCTCATCTTTATCTTTGCAGCGTCGTGGTTGATCTTTGTGTGCATCCGGCATGGTGAACGAAGGGGCTATGTACTGTAAACTGAAACTCAACCTCGCATTCGCTGGAACAACATGCTGAGCCGCTGTGATGCTTCAAAAAACACCTGGCTGGAACCACGGCCATACTCGCGTGGGCATGCCAAACTGCTGGACAGAGTGCAACGATAGAGCCAAAATCTGCGGCAAACAATTGCAATGCCTACAAGTCACTGGATAAGAGCTCCGGGTAGCTCTGTGTCCTATGTTGAAGCGCTCGAACCGCTGGCACTCCTCCGGAAACGAACCATAGTTGATTCTTGCCAAAAACCTACCATGCCCGTGCATTGCCAAAAAGAGAGAGTGCAGTTGCGTACGAGTCCATCCAGGTTGCACAGGATCAACTGCACTTGTTGTTTTTTCATGATCCTGCAAGCCCAAAATAAAAAGGAATAAAAGCATGGAACGAAGCAAGCATTCGCGGTTGAGACGATCGAGCCCTGAATCTCCCGGCCAAACGAAGGCCAAACCATCACACATAGCCAACTCTTTCTGGTGCAATCGGTTGCTAGATCCATGTTATTGTGCTGTTGGCACCAAAATCAGAAGAAAGAATTCCGACTTGGACCCCTAACTCGAAAAACGCCTGGCCTCTTTCTGGTATGTTGTTGTAAACACAACCACTAACATCACATCTTATTGGCAATCTCAACAGTCAAAAGTTCATTCTTGAGGTCCGTTTTCTTGTGTCCCCGCTTCAGGTGCACGACATGAAGATTTTGACAAGCATTCCTCGCACGTTCCAGACAGGTTTAACAAACGCAAAGCTCAAGAAGGTCTTGTTTGGCAACCCGTGCTGGTTTCACGCCAGAGCTTCTGCTGACATCCACAAGTAGCTGTAGTAAACCGCCTGTAGATGTACTTTTGTGCCCATCAAAAACGCGTCCGCACCACCTCGTAGCTAGCACTCAAGTGCTTGTGCGTTCCTATGGAATCCGTTTAGAACTGTCCCACGGAACAGTGTTGGTTTGAACTTCGAGACGCGCCACCAGTAGAATTCTTAGCCACAGCTTGCAGCCTTGGCAAGTTCGCTTTTTTAAAAACAAGCTTAATGAATGGCGCTATTTCAGGCGTGCTTAGAAGAGAAAGTGAAGACAAGCAAGACAAAATGCAAACAAGATAAAAGAAAGAGCGATACAGAAAACTGGGCAAGAACAAAGAACCAAAAAGAAAACTGGGGCAAAGAAGGGAAAACAAAGACTAAAATAGAAAAAATATTTTAAAAAGAGTAGCGCAGAGGTCCAAGAAAACACCAGAGAAGGTCCTGAAAAATCTCTCGGAGTCTAAAAAAATCCGAGGTTCGTTGCATAAAAATTTGTGCTTTTCCAGGCCAAAAGCTGATGCACTTGTTTGAATGGTTCATCGGATGCTGAAAACGTGCAATCTTGCGGACACTGGCTGTGGCCACAGGCTGTTCTTGCACTTCAATTCTATCAGCAAAGATAGATTCGTCGCATTCAAAAAACTCACTCACTCAGATTCAGACTCTGACTACACGCACACTTATGCACTGGAAAGCCAAACAATTTGAAAGTCTAAGACTATCGTAAGTCAAGTTCAGATCGAGAATCTGGTCGAGTTAAGGCGGCTGCACTGCACTTGAAGAAGCGGCTAGCGTCACAGAATTGCTGTGCTGCGCTTGAGGGTTTGGACAGCACTCCAAGGGTCTTGCCAGTTGCAAGGTAGCATCTTACATGGGATCGAGATAGCACCGTCGAATCTGGGAGGACGTGCAAATTGCTCTAGAAACGGCTCACCTTCGCAAAAGGCTGCCACCTCTGCTGTGTGGTGAGCCGCCAGATTGACCTCCGGTTCAACCGCAGAACTCATCGAGCATAGCCACCACCAGATTTGGGGGCGTTCGAGCTCCAGCCATCCCAATTCGAAGGCATGCTTCCGGGATGTTGTCCGAAGCGAGAGCGGCGTCGGATTGTCAAGATTTCGGTGACGGTTACAGGCAAACACCTTGCCAAAATTTCTTCTTCGGCAAAAAAAGTAAAAAGCGGAGCCAAAAATGGGTCTGGAATTCGGACCTGTTTTTTGGACCCTTCTAGCAAAGATTCTGGTGTTGGCACGCATCTCAAAGGCTCAGAAAACGGGTTTTTGGGCTTGCGTTCTGTGGAGGAACCTGCTATGTCCTCGTTTCTTGTGCTTTTTCGGCCTTAAAACTGTGCCTAGGTGAAGCCGGAAATCAATCTAGCTGCCGGTGACGGCGCCGATCTTCGAATTTGGGTCTGTTTTCCGAGCCTTTCTGTGTTTACCACTGTTGCCACAAGGACCAACAGTTTCACACGACCTGCCACCGAGTATAACTCTTGCTGCGAGACTTACGGCAGCCTGGCTCTTCCGCGCAGACTTGCATGCAAACTACCACAGACTGCCTGACTGCCACCTCTTGGTCAACTTAATCGCTCAGATTTCTGAACGTTCTTCAGGAGCTCCGCTACCATGTGAAA